CTAACGTACAGTGGCTTAATAATACAGTGCGGTCATACGGATCGGGCGGCCATATTGGATCGGGGGGGAACTAATATTTGAATAGTCTCTCTTTGTTATTTCAATTTAAAAGATAATTATTGTAAGAAACTATTAAGTAGAATGGTTTGGGAGATAAAATTGAAGTTGGGCAAGTTGAATGAAGCATATGAATCACTTATATCACGCGAAAATAAATAATAAAATCAAAGAACAATATTTGTTTTGTTTTTTCTATTTAACTTCTTTTAAAATATATTCCAATAAACTTCGGCATATTTCGATTTCTAATTTATTCATTTAACTCTCTCATTGGCAAATTTCACAAACAAATGTATATAATTATTAAAACATTAAACAAAAACTGAGTGAAAATTAACTTTCATTGGAAAATCGGAAAATCAGAAATTCAATTCTAAGACAGCAACCATGAAACTATTTTTATTTTCTTCTAAATATTCTTTTTTGAAAAAAACAAAACTTTAAATAAATGTAAATTATTTAATTTCATTTTAATAAATACAAATTATTTACTGTAAATTTAATAAAAACAAATTATTTAATATTAATTTAATGAAAAATAATTATTTAATGTAAATGTAATAAATATAATTTATTTATTTTTACTTTGTTATTTGTGACTAAACACCACACTAGTGTTGCCCAAGTGCGAGACCATGACTTGGTCTTACGCGAGTCTTGCAACAATCTTCCAGTTATCTATTAGCTTATTATTATAGAGATATTACTGTAATTTTTCAGATATAGCAAACCTAATAAATCCTAAATGAAAAATTGAATTAAATTCCAAAGGATTTTATACCAATTCTTTACATATGGTAACTAAATTTTTCAAGTTTTAGTGACTATTTTATCATAATTTTTATTGATAAAAAGGATTTTTTTTTCCAGTCTTGGTCTTGGTCTTGCAATAGTTAGGTGGCCTTAGTCTTGGTCTTGCAAAGTGCATGACCATGACCGATTTTAGACAATACTAACCATTATAACAACTTAAAATAGTTCAAAATTTGATCCTCGATCAATAGATTAATTTCTGATCATTGATATAAAGTATTTTTTATGGTTTACCTTTTACCATAATGTAGATATTGTATATTGCATCCAAAGTAGATAAAAAAATGATTATTTTACTTCTAAGTCTGTAAAAGGTGGTAGGAGTGAATTTGTTTTGAAGTGATATAACTTAGTTTTTGTATAATTTGAAAATTTCTATTTACCAATCAATATCAATATACCTGTTATCAATGAAATGGATTAATAATCATGATAAATTGTAATAATGTTCGTCACACCTGAATTTTCCATTAGTCCAGAATCTAAGCTTTCCCTTGTTTTATTTATTTTTCATTACTTTTTTGGAAAATTAGAGATTGTTGGCTATAATATATTTTCAAGTTATCAACTAGTTCAATCAATTATCAATTGATTGAAGAACTATCCAATTTAACTTGAAAAACATTTTTAATCGACAAAGGGATATAAAAAAACAAAACATAAAACAGAGAATATTTATTTATTTACAAAGGAATTTAAATTTACAAATGCTGCACATATACATTTTCTGCTAAAAACAGATCAGACATATGAGGAAAATTCTTTTTACTTATCCTAAGTCTAAATACAATAAACCTCTTATGAATACTATCTTTAATATTTTGATAATTAATTTTGTGTTCTTCATCAACAGACCTTATTTTTTTCTATGAAAAATCCTCTTAAATCACCTCTTACTGAGTTGATTTGGCATTATTGATTTTCATTTGTAATTCAGTGATTATGAAAGAAAAAGATAGAAATTAAGTTTGAAATTTGGTTATAGAAAATATTTTTATAGTTTGAGGCTATTAGCTGATACAATTTTTATTTTATAGTCAGTGGTTTCAAGTATAAAATTGAAATTTGGTTTTCCTTTATAGTTATTGTTACTTTCAATAATAAAAATATGAGTGTAGTTTATGATCCTTAAATCATAGTTGAATTGAGTATAGTTGATGTTCCTTAAATGATAATCTTGACTTTAAATGATAAAAAACCATCTTGAATAAACATTAATAATTTTAGAAGTTCAAGAATAAGAAAAATAATAATTTCATTTCATAACTTTTGCAGCACAACAAACTATTTCTTAAAAATCAATCATGATGAGTATCATATTATTATTCTGGCATAAAAGAAAACTACTTTTAGCTACTCGAGATCTCAATAAAGCTAAGGATCATCAACTATACTCTATATATATTTATGATGAAAGTAACAATAACTAAAAAGGAAAACCAAATTTCAATTTTATACTAGAAACTATTAACTTCAAGATAAAAATTGTGTTAGCTAGTAGCCTCGAACTATCTTCATATAACCAAGTTGCAAATTTGATTTCCATCTTTTTCTTTCATTACCACTGAGTTAAAAAGGAAAATTAATGAAATAAAGTAAAGAATTTTAATGTATTCTCACGATTTTAAGTCTATGAAGAAGAAACTAAACTTATCACTTTAAACACTAATATGTATAACTATTAAATAAAAACTACCTATTAATAAACTAAATCTATTACTTAAACAACACAATTAAACTTTTAAATAAAATATCATCAATAAAATAAGTCTGTAAACGTATCACTGAACATGAAACCAAAACTGTCACTTTAAACCCTAAAACGTGTTACTATTCAATAAAACTACCTATTAATAAACTAAATATATCCCAAAGCTTCAAAATTAAGCTTCTTAACTAAAATATGAATATTTAACAGTTTTGAGGTGCCTATAGAGCAAGCAGATAGCAAGGGACGATCCAAGATGGCCAACCAATCAAAAAGTGACTCACTGTATTATTAAGCCACTACTGTTGGACATTAGGAAAAAAACAAAAGTTACGATTCGAAAGTTTTACTGCATTAGTGGTAAACTAATATTGTTTCCCCTTAACATTCAGTGATTTTAAACTTGATTGTCGCATTAATGGAAGAATGCCCCTTATGAGAAAAATTTAGAGCAGGTTCAAACCTAACGGTATGTTCTAGGAAGAATTAGGTACTTCTAGTGAAGCCTAAGACAGGCGAAACATAAGTTTTTATATTGAATATTTAATAGTTGACCGTTGGATTATAAAGCACGATTCTGAATTGAAGTCTGGAGTGGCGGTCATAAATAGGCTAAATAGTTGCAAAACTATTTTATTAAAAGCCAACGTTTCGATCCACTTTGCAGGTCTTCGTCAGGGCTAGAACGGACAAGACATAAAAAAATATAGAGAATTGTGGAGTTAAATAATATTTAGAAAAAAAATATAAACAATGTGAATAAGCTTATTAAAATTATAAACAGTAAGTACATTAAAATATAAACAAGATCCTACATAAAAAGTAACAAGATCCTAAACTGAAGTAAATAGATGGTAACAATTGTTATAGTGTAATATATAATATATGAAAATGTGAATATACTTCTACAGATCTACGGGAGAGATTTAAAAAGAAGGAAAAAGGTTATAATATGAAATAATAGACATATAGGAATGTGGAGAATGAAAAGAAAAACAATAATAAAATAAATAAATAAGTATATAAAATTATAAGAATTAAAATAGAGACTTACAGGTGTGATCAGCTAGGAGTTTCACTTAGAACTGGAAACTAAGGGTAAGAGTAGGTATTAGGGAATTTTGGGGACCTGAATTTGCTGAAGATATGGATGAATACAAGGGAAAAATACTATATCTATGAAATAATAGATTATAAATATATACATATACATATAAAATAAAATTAAGAAATCATAATGTAAGTACAATGTGAATAAAAATAAAAATGGAAGAAGTAACATAGAAGTAAAATATAAAAATATAAATAAGAGGCCATACATTACAGAACCACTTAAGAGGTATAGAGAGGAAAAAAAATATGAATAATTATAATTTTATTTAGTTGTACATATGTAAGAAAATCACATTTAAAAATTATCTAATATAGCCTATTTATGACCGCCACCCCGGACCATCTTCCTTTGTAAGTTTTTATAAATTAACATAGTTGTTATGACGTTTCACAACAATTGCAAGTAATTTTGGTCCATTTTGCATATCGCACGAAATCGCTCGGAAAAACTAGATATAGCCTATTGCTAACAAAGGTTTGAACTTCCAAAAACAGTATTCAGACCAACCTATCACCTCGGAAGTTATTGAAGATTTAATACTTTGAATAATATATAATTATCTATTCTGACCAAATCACAAACATCTAACGAGTTTAATAGCTAATAAAAAAAATATTAAATATTTTTCATTAATACATAAATGTAACTTTATATATTTGTATTTTATTATAATCGGTCGTTATGAAATAGGTAATAAAATATACAATATGAGTAATCACTAATATCTAATCAGCGTGTCTTAAAGGCTTCTAGACAGCATGGAACGTACTATAGAGTAAATAATAAAGTGATGGTAGAACGAATTCATGTAGAACTATTGAAGGAAAAAAAAATAGTGAAAAAAGAAGTTCACAATAAACAATAAGCTTGAACGTTTTTCAAAAATTGCTTTGGTAATTATTAAGTATTGAAATTAATTTTGATTGAATTTTATCTCTTGGTCAAGCATTCTGCAAGTATTTAGCTCTAATAGCCATTAATTAAATTGTAAAAATACTAAAATTTTAGCTTTAATGTGGTTCATTGAATATTATGGATATAAAACCATATTTTCAGCATAACATCAGTTCTGATCTTCAATCAAGTGATTAGAAAGTTCTGATTTTATTTTATTTTGTTAAAAAAAAACGTAATATTTTTTTTTGTTTTATCACCTTTTGTTTGTATAACGATTGATTTTTAATAGGGTATTGTGTCTCTGAATGGGTTGTAACTATTAGTACACCTTTAAACTATTTGATTGGACTTGTCTAACCATGAAGCTTGAATAGTACCAAGTGATAACCCAAGCTGAAAATTGTTACCATGCGTAATGTAATAGTGTTGGTTGTGATCATAAGTGCCGCGTTATGTGAGGATTCAGAAGAAGAAGTGCAACAAACGAAAAATGACAGGAATGATGAAGACACTGGTAATGTTCATAAAACTATATCACGCATACTTCAAATGTTTTTGCCTAAATGGTTTTTAAATTTATTGCGATATCCCACAGAAGCAATTATTTGGGTTCTTAAACTATTTCGAGAACAACAAAAAAATAATAATATGGCAGTACTACCGAGGACTTTAGAACGGATGGAGGAAAAACCTGTGGAAGAAAAACTGGTGGAGGAACAATCCGTCGAAAATAAACTGAGAGGGAAACGTCCGGTGAAAGGAAAACTGGTGGAGGAACAATCGGACGAAATGGAAGTACGCGAAAAGCCATATAGAACAAAGAAAAGAGGTTTTCCTGATTACGAACAATACGAATATCCTCAGAAGGATAGAAATAATGATTTCAATGATTATTAAGAAACAACTCTTGAGAACCTGTCTATTTAAGGACGCTTAATTATCCTCAACAATTTAATATTTATTACTGTAATTTAAATATTTTTTTTACTGATTTTTCTAAAATTTTCTTTCTTTTTTTCACATTATATAAAATTGTAATAATCTCCAAAAGAAGAAGTGTTTCTTCCATTATAGTTTGTGCTATATTTATTACCATAGCAGACACTATACATATTACGTATAATTACTAATAGTACCAACGTTACGCAAGGAAAAGTAAACATAACAGGGAATATATTTAAAGATTTTTCTTTCACCAATACCACCCAACCAAGCTATCATCTATACAATCGTCGTTCTTTTAAAGTATGTACATAAATAAATTTCAAGAGGTCAATTGTAAATATATTCACCCAGTTTCAAGTTAAATCCTCTAGATGAATAGAATTCAGAAATGATATAAGCTATTAAACGTCGGAAATTGTGGTAATTTATCATCATGCTCGGCTTTAAACGTGTTTAGTACCTTGGTCAACTTTGAGTCAGTTTGTAATCCGTAATCAATGTTACTATGTTGTTTTACTACTTCATGGGTAAAAATGGACAAGGTTTCGTGACTTCAATGATATGAAGCATCGACATATGGTTATTTTCCTCAGAAATAACGTTTCTGTATTTACTTTCACTTACCTATATATAGCATTTCCAAGTCAATTTCAACCTTTTCCAAATCAAATTCAACCTTTTCAAGTCAAATTAAACCTTTTACATTTCAAATTCAACCTTTTCCATTTCAAATTCAACTTTCGGATTTTGGTCAATTTTCGATTTTTTTCGAAATGAAGGCCACTTACTATATTACCGAAGGCATAGCTTTTGAAAAATACAAAAAAAATTTTGATTACGCGGTTGCATATCCATTTATTTTAACATTTTAGATTTTTTCAGTGTGATATTTCTATGTCATATTCAATTATTTCCAAGTCAAATTCAACCTTTTCCAAGTCAAATTCAACCTTTTCCAGATCAAATTAAACATTTTCCAAGTCAAATTCAACCATTTCCATTTCAAATTAAACCTTTTCCAATTCAAATTCAACCGTTTTCATTTCAAATTAATGTTTTAACTTTTTGTAAATTTTATATATTTTTTAAAATAATGGCCATCCCCTCCCTCCTCCAATATGAAAGTCTATTATTATGCTCTCCTAAGTAGAATTTTCACTTACGGATATCGATTTATTGTACCTATTCGGATTTATTAAGGACTAGTATTATGCTGTCCTGTACCTAGTTTTGAAAATAACCTCCATTTTAAGATTACGTGACTGCGTTTCGAATCATTTAAGTTTTTTGACTTATTCGATATAAGGGTGTATTTTTATGTTTTCCGATCAGTAAATTTTGAAAATGACATCCATTTTATGTTTACGCCACGGTGTTTTGACTTATTTAAGTTTTTAGAATTTATCCAATATAAAGGTCTACTTTTATGTTTCCGAAGCCGTAGATTTTGAAAACGACCTCCATTTTAAGATTAGGCCATCGCGTTACGACTTATTTGAGTTTTTCGGATTTTTTTTCATATGAGGATGTATTCTTATGTTTCCGGAGCCGTAGATTTTGAAAACGACCTCCATTTTAATATTAGGCCACCGCATTTCGATTTCTTTAAGTGTTTCGAATTTTTATCATAATGAGTGTATTCTTATGTTTCCGGAGCCGTAGATTTTGAAAATGACCTCCATTTTAAGATTACGCCACTGCGTTTCGGCTTATTCAAGTTTTTCGAATTTATCCAATTTAAAGGTCTACTTTTATGATGCCGGAGCCTTAGTTTTTAAAACGACTTACATTTTAAGATTAGGCCACTGTGTTTCGGTTTTTTTAAGTGTTTTTGATTTTTCCTTCGAATAAAAAACAAAATACGAAGGATTAATTTATTTTTCAATTAATAAATAAAAATATCTAATCAAAATAAATAAAATATATATTGTCTCATTTTTAATTTAATTTTAGTTACCTTTTTTAATGTTGTGGTCTCCTGTCACAAAATTATAAGATTTCGAACAATTAGCTGAAAAATCTGAATACGGAAGGTTAAATTTATTACCATTTGCTTTTCGGCTTTTTAGTTTGTATTCTGTGGTTAATTTAACTTTAAGGCTCATTTACACGGTGCCAGTCGCTGGCGCCAGTCACTGGTGCCAGTCGCTGGCATTCCAGTCGACTGGCGCATTACAGTTAAAGCTCATTTACACGGTGCCAGTCGCATTCCAGTTGACTGGCGCCTAAAGTTTACACATTCCCGTTAATGTAGAACGATTCGAGTGTTATGAGAGGCCTTTAAAATACGTCTTACTTTTATGACTTTTTTAACCTGCCATTCCAACGCTCAGTTTCCTTCGTCATGACAGAGTAGATCGTAGGTATGGTGGAGTAGGTCTCTTTGTCCATGTCAGCCTTAAATCCACAATCCTTCGTTGCTCTTCCTTAACCGATTCTCTGCGCATTGAATACCTCTTTGCCGAAATCCTCACAACTTCATCTGCCATTCTGTTTGCTGTCATATATCGCCCTACTAGAATTGTTTTTGATGTATCATTTGAGATTTCTTTGTACAACTTAATTCCTTCCTACTCAAATGTCATCCTCTCCGGCGAATTTAAAACCAATTTACTGATGTAATCGATCGATTATTCTTACCTAACAAGTGCCCTCCATTATCTCAGCCTTTAGCCATTATCTTATAGTATCCTACAACTCTACCATATATACCCAGTTCTCGGAGTCCTGGCTCGATCTGTTTATCCTAGATTTCTTAGACAAACTCCTTCCTGCATTTCAGCACTCGATCCCGTTTCTATCTTACCACGGTCTTATCCAAATTTCTTACAATATCCCTATCCCATCCTTTTCTCCTCGAACAATATCCTTCCGAAACCTAAATCCACTCACTCACGAAACATTTTCAAACGATCTTGACGATATTCAGTGGCATCGTATTTACTTCTCAAAATCCATCGACACCATGGTAGAAACCTTAACCACTCATCTTCACTCCATCCTCGACTGATATGCTCCTATTATCACAAACAAAATCCTTCCTCTCCTTGGTTGACTTCTGCTTTGAGAGAGTGTATGAGAGAAAGAGATGCTGCAAACCGACGGTTTAAACGAACTTGAGTTCCTGAAGATTTTCTGTTCTTCGAACAGCTTCGAAACAGTACTCAATCAGCAGTACGCCGTACCAAGTCCAGTTAATACTATTATTCCTTATTGAACTCCCCTAATACCAATGCCACTTGGGCTATTCTTAGAAAACTGACCATTGGTAATACACCTCAGTCCCAGTCCATTTCCGTTTCTGCTGATAACCTCCACGCTCACTTTGTCTCCTGCCATTTAGCAACCACATCACGTCCAGTCCGGCTCCTATGTTTTCCTCTTTTAATACTGATCACTAATTTTTCCCCCACATTATCCCTAATGATCTTCTTAACTCCATTCAGAAGTCCCATACAAACGATTATGGTCCTGATTTTTGTTGTAAATTCTAAAACCCCCCATCAGAATCTCCACCCTTGTCCAGAGGTATTCCCCAATCTTATCCTGAACAACTTCCCTATCTTATTCCATACTACCGTTGAAAAACTAGGTGTTACTTTTGATTAAACCCTCTCCTGGAAACCACACATCTCCCAAATTTCTCTTCGCAATCTCCTCCCTAAAACAGTTCAACCGCCTATGTTATCTCCTTCCTTCCATATAAGTCCGTCAAGTCCTAGTTACCTCCCTTGTTTTCCCCCACTTCGACTATGGTGGACGGTGGCCCGGGAGATTGCGAAGCCAAACTTAAACGCCTAATGACTTTCCAATTACGTTTTATTTTCGGGCTCTCAAGAGATGCGCCAGTATTACACCGTGTTGAAGTAGCTCTATCCATCCTATCACCGTAGGTAATTCCTAGCTACCTTTCTGTACGAAATCATTAGAACTCATCGAGCCTCCTATTTTTCACAGCTTACAATTTAAATACTTCATCCAATCCCGTCCCACTAGATCTGATACTCCGGCCTCTATTCTCCCCCTCATCTAACTGTTGTGTTTGACAAATACTTTGCAATTCAAGCCGTCTCCCTCGGGGATTCCATCCCTACTGATATTAGACACACACAATCAGTTTCCTCTTTCGAACCTCTCCTCTTTAAAGACCTAGTTTTTTCTATTATATTCTAGTTTTTTCTATTATTCTGTTATATTTCGTAATCCATCTGATTACGAAATAAAACAGTCACAGAATAATAAAGTATAATTTCCATTTTATCTCACTCATATATAAGAACATTCAGTGCCCTTGAAAAGTACTAATTTAGTGGCTAAACATTTGTCTGTTTATGTTTTATTGGATATTGAATTTGAATTGAAGTCATTAGGTCGAAGATGGATGCATTAAAAGCAAAATAATAAAATATTAATTTTTACTTTATCTTAAATAATACAATGTAAAATATTGTATACAATATAAAATATTGTATTTATTCAAATGTTAACAATATTTTGAAACGGTTCTGTTAAAATTCTAATTGACTTTAAAGTCGATCTAATCAATGACCAAATGGTAATCTGAAACGAAGGACTGTATTTAAAATATTAATAATTTATCGAAGTAATTTAAAAATTTTGTGTAAAATAAATAAATTACATTTATGAAATAATAAATGAATTACATTTGTTACAATGGAAAATGTCATGTTGCCGAAAGGCAAGGAAGGGAGGAATAAATAAATAATCGACTATCATAAGTTATTACCCTCCATTTTAAGCTATAAATTTAAGCGTTCTTTGTCATTCACCATCATCTTCTAAGATTTATTTACTTAATATAATATTCTCTAAAATCTTAATCTTTCCGCCCATACAGATAGACACTGTCATATTAAAGATGCTTTTTATCTTTTCTGGTTTCGATTTGGCATATAAGTGCCATACAAAATAAGAACAAATCTTTATCGTTT